GAGAACAGTGCAAATACAGAGGAATATAACATGTAGTCATCTGGGGTTTTGCAAGGGGATGTGCTTGAGATTTCAAGGTTAATGGCCTTTAGAGACACTCTCCCTGAAAGTGAGTGCCAGCTTCGGGCACGGCGTCACTGCAGGCTGTGGTGTCCCTGGCGTCCAAGCTATACATGCCAGGAATACTCTCTCATTCATCACATATTCATCTGGTTCCTTCTCTCAGTCACAACCGTAAAGGAGAGTAAGCTGCCCGAGGAAGTTATGGCCCATGGGTGAAGGTACACCATTAGATAAACTAGTAATAGTAAACAAGCGTCAGAGAGCCAGCCAGGCTTTCCAGAAGTACCAAGCAGAGGTACAGGACCCCGGACGGGGGACAGCAGACCCCTCGGGGAGGAAGCCAGCCTTCGGCTCACACCTGGGGATGGAGGGAGGAACAGGCGCTGATGAAGAAAAGCGGTTTGGGGCCTGCTGTTGTGAAGGTGAGCCGGTGGATGTAAATGGCTCGTGCAAGACCCAACACACCGTGGGCGCTCCGGCAGTGCCAGCCCGGCTGGGAAGGAATTTCCCCAGATGCCCAGGCCGGAGCTCGGGGCTGCCATTCCCCGACGTGCCACAAGGCGGAGCGCATCAGCTGTTCTAGTGTGTTGGGCTCCTGTCCCTCTACCTGCAGTGTGGCCGGTCTCCCGTCAGAGGCTGGTTCTTTCCACCTTACCCAGCTGTTACCAAGCACCCCCGGGCCCTGGCAGCCCCCTGCGAAGTGTAGTGCATGCCAGAGCTCAAGTGGCTCCTGACAGCCCTTTCCTTGTGTTTCCTCTTAAAGCCCAGGATTGCTTCCTCTGGACTCTCATCACCTCGCGATAGCTCCGATTCCCCCAAATAGCCACCAGTTTATGTTCTTTTCACCCTTCCCCGTTCTTTTTTTTTTTTTTTTTTAAGATTTATTTATTTATCAGAGAGAGAGCACACACAAGCAGGGGGAGCAGCAGAGGGAGAGGCAGGCTCCCCACAGAGCAAGGAGCCCGAAGCAGGACTCGATCCCGGGATCCTGGGATCATGACCTGAGCCAAAGGCAGACGCTTAATGGACTGAGCCACCCAGGTGCCCTTCCCGGTTCATCCCACCCACTCGAAGCATCCACTGGGCCCACCCCTAGAGCAGCACGGATGAGACGAGGCACTGGCCCCTGGCACCCCTGGGCCATCTAGGCCAGCAGAGGTTCATTTCTCTGCACAGAACCCAGTCTCTCTCTGGAGGGGATGAGAAGGTATTTTCCCACAAGTCTCCCTCCTGAGTTAGAAATGTACTTGGTTTTGAACACACACACCCCCACCACCCCACCCTAATGGCTTCTGGAGAAGGTTGGGTGGCTACATGCTCTGGAGTGAGATAGATCTGTTGTGCAGTCTTCACTCTGCTGGTGACTTGGGCAAGTTACATCACCTCCATGGTCATCTTACACGAAATAGAGATTAAAAGAAGAGATCTAACATTTTACTTTATGAGATGCTAAGGAATCAGTTGTTCCAGGAAAAGGGAATATTCACGAGCCTCTTTAATGCTTTTCTCCCCTCACCCATGGAACATCTTTAAACACACACTGAAACTGACATACAGGTAACTTCCCAAAAGGAGAGGAGGCCGCCTCTTGACAGATGACTTCAAGCCAAAGAGGTGAACCTGGGTTCAGGTGGGGGCTGGCAGGAAATCCACATGCTCCCTTTCTTAACTCTCTCCCAAGAGGACTCTGGCTGAGGATGAGGACTGACAAGCACCGGACCTGACAAGGTCAGAAAAAGGACAGCAGAAGGATTTCCAGGCAGAGTAAGCACATGGATAGACTTCACAGGTCAGTTACTGGGGTACTGTCCGGCCTCTCGAGCAGGCAGGACTAAGAGCTCCACCATCTGTGCCCAGCTCAGTGCCTGGCACTTAGAGGGCAGCCTTCTGGGGTCAAGAATGACCAGAACCGGGCGCCTGGGTGGCTCAGATGGTTAAGCGTCTGCCTTCGGCTTAGGTCATGATCCCGGAGTCCTGGGATCGAGTCCCGCATCGGGCTCCCCGCTCTGCGGGAAGTCTGCTTCTCCCTCTGCCTCTCTCTCTCTCTCTCATGAATAAGTAAATAAAATCTTTAAAAAAAAAAAAGAATGACCAGAACCTTCATCCCTTGGCCTTGGTTTTGTCACGACTCATTACAACCACTGATGATTTAGCCCACTTTGGGAGCTGACAGAGGCCATCCCAAAGATGCCCCACACAAACTGCAGTTTGCTTCTCAGTGGAACAAGGGTTGGACCACACTGAAGGTTTGAAACTGTGTTTTTCTGTACCCCGCAGAGACAAGGAGGCAGGGAGAGGTATGTGGCAAGGTGAGCACCAAATGTTCAAAGCCCCCATCCCCATTTCACTAGAGAAGCTCCAAAAAAGGTCATGTTTTGTTTTTGGTGGTTTTTTTGGACAATTATTTAAGACCTTTATTAACGGGTGCTTGCCGTTTGTTGATTTTTTTGAAAAAATCAAGTTGTAAACTTTTTATTACAAATTAAAAATGAGGTTCTCAAAAATCTCAACTTGACCAGATATGAAACAATTTAAAAACCTTTAAAGATGTATTGAGAAAAACCAGGTTTTGTTGTTTTTTTAAAAACACGTTTGTCATTACCAAAAAGAGACGTCTTTAGGTAAAAATAATAAAAACCCCATGCTGCATAGATAATGCAGATAGTTCTATTTATCTGGTCAGTGGGCAAAAAGCAAGCACTTAAGGTCTTCAGCTCCAATCTTTTGTTCATTTCTTATTGCTGGAATTTCATCTTCATTTCTTCGTGTTGGATGACTTAAACCGGATGATGGTAGAGATGGTAAACTGGCATTTACTCAGCCCTGCCCTGCTCAGCCTCGGGAGCGGAGGAATTCTCAGCTGGTGGATCTGCTGCTTTTGTCTCTTTGCCATCTTGTGGTTTGGGGTTTTCTGGGCGTCTGCGTCGGTAATTGAAGTTGCAGCGGTACCAACGTTGAGGTGGCTGCTGACCTTGGGTCTCATCTCCTTGATTTTCCTTATCTTCCTCATTGCCCTCCTCTCCAGGCTGTCTTTGGCGAGGAGGACCCCTGCGGAATCGTGGTCTATAACCCCGATACATATTCTGTCTCGCTGGTCTACCTTGTTCTCCTGCACCCTGGTTGTCAGCGCCTTCCATCACTTCTCCCTGCCCAGGAGGGTTGGAATCCTGTGGTCGACGCCCATAGGGTCTCCGCATGTAGTAAGGTGGGAACCGTCGCCTGCGGTAGGGTCGGCGCTGTTGGGCCTGGCCTTCGGGAGCACTTTCCGATCCCTCGTTCTTTTCCCCATTCTCACTATTCTGGTAATTCTGCTGGTAATTGCGTGGAGGACCCCTGCGACGTGGATAGCGTCTATAATGGTTACGGTCTGCTGCATATTTACTGCCTTGCACTGGGACTCCACCAGGGCCTGTCACATTTGCTGCCTCCGCACCCTTTTCTCCTTCAACAACATCAAACTCCACAGTCTCTCCATCTCCTACACTGCGAAGGTACTTCCTGGGGTTATTCTTCTTTATGGCAGTCTGGTGTACAAATCCATCTTCCTTGGTGTCATTCCTGTTGATGAAACCATATCCGTTTCTTACGTTGAACCATTTTTCACTGTTCCCAAAACCTTCGTTGCGATGACTTTCTTGTCCCCGCCAGCAGGCGCCGCCGATGTGAGGCCGCGGGGGCCGCCGCTCCCTGCGCTGCTGCCGGTGGTGCCGGGCTTGGTGTCGGCCGCGCTGAGGGCGGGGGCGGCGGCGGGGGGCGGGGCGGCTGCTGGGTCTCGGCCTCGCTCGTGGTTGCGGTGATGGTAACTAGGCCGGCGGCGGCGGTGGGGCTGCTCAGGGCTCTCTGGGGTCCGCTCTCCCCTCCCGCTACCGATCGAACTCTGTTTTTTTTAAGAGAGGGGAGAGAGAGAGAGAGAGAGGGAGAGAGAGAGAGAGAGAGAGAGCGCGAGAGCGTGCACAGGAGCAGGAAGGGGAGGGGCAGAGGGAGAGTAAGAGAATCCCAAGCAGGCTCCCTGCTCAGCATGGAGTCTGACACAGCGCTCCATCTCACAACCTTGAGATCATGACCTGAGCCGAAATCAAGAGTTGGACGCTTAACCGACTAAGCCACTCAGGCTCCCTAAGAGGTCATGTTTTTATTTATCTATCATCTATCTATCTATCTATCTATCTATCTATCTATCTATCTATCTATCTATCTATTTATTTATTTTTGTGAGAGAAAGAGAGAGAGCACGAGCCAGGGGGAGGGTGGCAGAGGGAGAAGCAGACTCCCCACTGAGCAGGGAGCCGGATGCAGGGCTTGGTCCCAGGACCCCGGGATCATGACCTGAGCGGAAGGCAGACGCTTAACTGACTGAGCCACCCAGGAACCTCAAGAGGTCATGTTTTGAAATAAGATGTAAAGAACAATAAAGAAAAATCAACACAACTTGTACAGTTTACCGATTAGTTATAAAGTGAATACCCCATCATGCAAGTCAAGAAATAGAACATTGCCTGCACCCCAGGATCCACCTTAGAGGCCCCAGACTTGATTTTAAGGGAGCCAAAAATCTGGCACAGGATGTAGCTTTTATGCGGTTGTGGCAGGGGGAGGGGAGCCTTTGGCTGGGGTGGGCCTCAGATGCAGAGTTGAATCCACCATATTCCCAGACCATGCATCAGGATCATGGGCTCATACAGGGCCTTCTCTTGTGTTCTTTGATATGCTTAGTTTTCTTCCCTTCATCTCTATCACTGCTCATATTTCCCCTTTCTCCCAAAGACAATTAATATATAGTATTTGGCTTATGTCCTTAGCTATATATAGATCTTTGAAAAATATATTGTGTTTTGTATATGTATGCATTTTAGATCTCTTTCTAGTCCTTACTTTTTTCCTGTTATTCTATATATCTCAAATCTATTGCTTCTAACTGCTCCCTGTTCACTCCACAGAATGCATCTCTCTCTCCCGTTTACCTGTCCTAATGATGGATACTTAGGATGCCACTGAGTCCTCTGTTGTAGCCAACAACACTCCTCTGTCCCCTCGTGGAGTCCAGACTGAGTTGCTCTGAGGCACGTGGCCAGGAGGTGATGATATAAGGCAAGGTAAGCGGGCTTAGGCTTGGCTAGTTTAAATAATTTCAGCGGGCTCTTGTGTAGGGGCTGTCCCCAGTAGCCTGGTCCCTGGCCCCCCGGGGGAGATGGGGGCAAAGAAATAGTAGCAGCCAGGGGTGGGAAGGGCTGGCTAGAAGAGGTAGAGGGATGTGGGCTCTGGACCTGTTAGTTTATATGTGAAAGGCGTGCTCACAGGTGAATCCTTTGCTGTCTCTAGGAATTGGCTGGGCCTCAGAGGTCAGGCTCCCCAGGACTAGCAATATAAAGAAGCAGAATAAAAAGACATGTGTAATGCAATGGGCAAGAGCTTCGTTCTAAAGCCAAAAGAGCTGAGAAAAAATTTTAAAAGGAGATGACTTTAATTCTCATTCAATATATTTTCCTGGTTGTTGGCTTATTTTCTATTTCTTCTTGTCCAAAGTTTGACATTTTACATATTTCAATAAACATTCATTTCTTATGGGCCCAGTGCTTCTGGAAAGCTAAGTCATGGCTTTTCTGGGACCCTCTACCTCCTCTTTGTGACCTTTACTTCTCTAGCTCCCTTGACAACTGTGTAAAGTCTAATTCCTATAATAAATCATTGATTGCATGATATAGTGGTTCCGCTTCCCCAACTGAACCCTAGTAGATAACTTCCCTACAGACTTAATGGAGCAGAATTTTTGTACCAACCCTGCCTCTCTAGCTCTGGACCTTTCCCTGAGAGAAGGAAGTACATTCCTCTCTTGTTTAAACCACTGTTACTTTGTCATTGTTGTTGCTTTTTAAAGATTTTATTTTTAAGTAATCTCTACACCCAACATGGGGCTCAAAATCATAACCGTGAGGTCAAGAGTCACACGCTCTTCTGACTGAGCCAGCCAGGTGCCCCTAAACCACTGTTACTTTGATCTGGCTTCATGGAGCTGAGACACCTACTCGTTTTGGACCCTGCCTACTGCTAGAACTTTACAGGAGAGAAAGCACTTGTATCTTATTCGACCCATTGCATGTTTTTGGTTTCTTTCTAACAGGAGCTTAGCCTGTAGCTTAAATAAATCCGCCCTCATCTGCGCTACCCCACTCTTCACCTGGTTGAATCCTGCTCATCCTGCACTTTTTTCTGACCCTTCAGTCTGATCCCCTTATTGTAAGGGCACTCTCCTCATGCCCCTCTCCTAGCACATGCATAATCTAGGAAATATTTGTTGCCCATCTGTCTCCCGCACTAGACTAGACCTTGCCTCTTATTCCTGCCATAGCCCCAGCCCACAATGCAGAGCTGACACACAGCCAGTGGCCAAATGAATGAACGCTCTCCAGGGGAGCTACAGAGAGGAGAAATCTTTTGGTGCATTTTGTTAGGCGTGTGCGGCAGCCCTGAACTCCTTGGGTGGATGGAACCTGGCTCGTCAGACTTTGCTGCCCAGACATTCTCCCCATCATCCTTTCCAAAGCCACCTATGCCAAAGCCTTGAACTACTCTCTAAGTGTTAGGTGCTTCACAACCAGTTTTTGCCCATGAAGAGGGGATAATATGTGTGTGCCAGACATCAAGGCCACTGAACCCCCACCCCCACCCAGCTATGTGTGATATGTAGAACCCCTGGTGGGGTTCTAGCTGGCTCATGTTATCTTCTCTAAGAGCTGCCTACCAAGCCCCTGCGTGCTGGGGTGTGGGCCCTGCTGGGTTGCCACTAGCCCATGGGATGCTTTACTAAGAACTGGGGAAAAAGTGCCCCTTTCTCGATCCATTTTATTGCCATCTGCCAAAATAGTTTCATGATGAGTATGCATATTTACCATGTCTGTAGTGTGACTGGGACCCCTTGGAGTTATGCATTGCACAGTCGGCCTAACCATATGTGGATCTATGTCCTGTCAGCCTCCCCATTCGCCTTGTCAGCATCATGTTCCTCTGCCTTCTTCTGGAGCCAGGCTGATTGGTCCAACCTAACTTCAACTGGCCAATCAGATTGGTTGTCTCAGAAATTTAAAGTTGGGATACAGAGCTCTAGTTTGTCACTATTGAACTGGGAGAAAATGCAGAGTCATGGCTGGGATAGCCATTTCCAGACATGTGTCAGTTAGAGTCCCTGACAGCAAGCAACAGAAACCAACTTAAAGAGCTACCTGAGCTTAAAGAAGGTGGGATGTGTTGGAAGGAGTCTGGGAAAACCAGAGAACCCAAAAGCCAGGCAGGAGGAACAACAGGAAAAGCTTCACACCAGAGCAATCTGGCCCATGCCCCCACTGCCCAGAGGAGGAGGGGACAGGAAAGGTGGGGCATGGACGATGGCAGACACTGACATGGACAAGGGACTACTGTCCATTTCCTCCTTCCTATCTCTCCATTAGGACTCAAAGGCTTGGGCGAGAGCATCTGATCAGCCATGCAGTGATGGTGGGAAGGTGCTCACATCGGATGGGGGACCACCCAGCAGTGTGGGCAGTGAAAGAATTCACCTGAGGCAGAAAAAAGGAGATAGAAGTTTATTGAATACACCACAAGGGAGCGGAGGGCAGGACAGCAAAGGAGAGAATGTCTGCCACCAGGCGGTGGTGGGGGGACCACAGTTCTAGGGCAGAGTGGGGACTATGGGAACATATGCAATTTTCCCTTTTTTGGCAATCTAGGAAACTGTGCTTGATCGCGATTGGTCTATGGTTATTTCGAGATTTGTCCTTTAATGAGCCCGTCTGCATTCAGCTCGGTGGTTGCTGGGGTCTCTTCTGCCTTGATCAAGTTTCCATTGCTCAAGCCTGTTTGCTGCCTAAAAGCAGCCTCTACAGGCTCCATCCCTCTGTTGTTGTTCTCTTCTGAACTCAAAGAACAATTTTTCATTTATAAAATTATTTAGAACACATTAAACAAGGCAACATTTCTTTTTTTCTTGCCTTCTGGTACAGGATCTTGTGGTGGCTCCTCCCCTGTGGCACCTCTTCCAGCCGGCCTCACTGTCACCAGCCCCCCTTCCCACGCCCTCCCCTTGTCCTCAGGAGCAGACGTGCCTTCTTCATCATTCTCTTGGCTTTCTGTCATGTCTTCCAAGTGTCTCCTCTGTCGCCAGGGAAATGCTTTTTAGCTTATCTCCTTTCTTTGGTTTGGTTTGGTTAGCTGCTCGCTCTTCCTCAGGAACGATACTGCTCTGACCCTGGTCAACCCAAGCTGCTGCCTCTCTCTCCCTCTTTCTGCCTTCTGCAGGTTGGTCCCTCTGCCTGTGCAATTCCAACTGTGGTTTTCTCTGTATCCGCTTCCACCCATGAACCACACAGCCTTTCAAGTTCATTGTTAAATGAATCTGCTTTCCAGGAACTTCTTCTTTTCCCAGGGTTGCTCCTCTATGTGAAGAAGTTCAGCTTCTAGTTTTCACTGATGAATGGTTAAGAACTGAGCTTGTTGTTTGAGATCCTGTATTCTAGCTGTTGCGACAAGTGACTGGACATCTGGCCCCACACTCTCACTAGGTATCCTAGCGATGAGGTGCTGGTTGCTCTGGAAAGAAGTGGCTGTATGCTTCACTGAAGAGCCATCATCACAAGATAGGTTAGGAGAAACCCGAGGTGACCTAGGGTATGGCTTTAGATATAATGCCAAAGGCACTCTCCGTGAAAGAAATAATTGATAAGCTAGACTTCATTACAACTACAAACTTCTGCTGTGCTGGGGCTGTGGGGGCTCCGTCGGTTACGTGTCCGACTCTTTCAGCTCAGGTCATGATCTCATGCGTCATTGGATGGAGCCCCAAGTCGGGCTCCACACTTAGCTCAGAGTCTGCTGGGATTCTCTCTCTCTCCTTCTGCCCCCCGCCCCACCCCCCCCACAGGCTCTCTCTCAAATGGATAAATAAATCTTAAAACAAAACAAAACAAAAAACTCCTGCTGTGCAAAAGACTCTGTCAAGTGATTAAGAAGACAAGCCACAGACTAGGAGAAAATATTTGCAAAAAACACATCTGGTAGGGGCGCCTGGGTGGCTCAATCATTAAGTGTCTGCCTTCCGCTCAGGTCATGATCCCAGGGCCCTGGGACCGAGCCCTGCATCAGGTGTCCCACTCAGCAAGGAGCCTGCTTCTCCCTCTCCCTCTGCCTGCTTCTCCCCCTGCTTGTGCTCTCTCTCTCTGTCAAATAAATAAATAAAATCTAAAAAAACAAAAAAAACCCACATCTGATAAAGTCCTGCTATCTAAAATATACAAAGAACTCTTCAAACTCAGAAATAATAAAAGGAACAATCCAATTTAGAAAATGGGCAAAAAGGGGCGCCTGGGTGGCTCAGTCGTTAAGCGTCTGCCTTCGGCTCAGGTCATGATCCCAGGGTCCTGGGATCAAGCCCCACATTGGGCTCCTCACTCTGCGGCGAGCCTGCTTCTCCCTCTCTCACTCCCCCTGCTTGTGTTCCCTCTCTCGCTATGTCTATCACTGTCAAATGAATAAATAAAATCTTTAAAAAAGAAAAAGAAAATGGGCAAAAGACCTGAAAAGACTTCACCAAAGATACGCATATGGAAAATAAGCACACGAAAAGATGCTCTACACCCTATGGCATTAGGGAATTGCAAATTAAAACAATGAAACACCCCTGCACACCTATGAGAATGGCCAAAATCCAGAACACTGATAACACCAAATGCTGGTGAGGATGTGGAGCAACAGGAACTCGAATCCATTGCTGGTGGGAATGCAAAATGGTACAGCCACTTCAGAAGACAATCTGGCAGTTTCTTCCAAAGTTAAACCTACTTTTACCATATGATCCAGCAATTGTGGTCCTTGGTATTTACCCAAATGTGTTGAAAATCTATGTCCCTATAAAAACCTGCACACTGTCTATAGCAGCCCTTTTTATCAATGTGTAGCTGACCCACAATATCGTCCCAGTTTCAGGTGTACAATAGTGAGTCAACATTTATATACATTAGGAAATGATCACCACAATCAGTCTAGCTACCAGCCTGTCCTCTGGTATGAGGCCAGTGCGGCTCTAGCCCTGATGCTCTCTCCTCTACTCACTGGGCTCCCTCTCACCTTGTTTTCCTTCTCCCCCACGTTTGATCTCAGGGGTGGGGTTTCCTTCTGCAGAGCAGGGGTGGAGGCAGGGATCCTCTGAGCCAAGTGACCACCTCTGCCCACCTTGGGCATCCCTGCAACCCAGGCTGGCAGCTGCTGGTTCTATAACTGCTGATTCTCCCAGCCCCAGGTCTTGCCATCTTCCTTTTTTGCCTGAATTCCAGCCCCTACCTTTGGGAACTGTCATCATGTTTAATCCTGCCTGGGTGAGCCCCCTCCACTTCCTGAAATGGAAGGTATTCCATTACACGGTAAAGTGTGGTTTAAGTAGCTGTGGGGAAGTGTGACAGAAAGTCTGTCAGCTGGGCCGGACTTGCCAAAACTTGGTGTAGTGTGGGCACGCTCTCACCGTGCCTCCTAAGGAAACCTGAGCAGAGCTGAGGCTAGGCCAGCAGGATGTTCCAGGTTAAGAGGCAGGAAATGGTGTGGGGGTGGAGCAGATGAAGCTCAGGCGGAGAAAGGAGGATGGGGGCAGGGACTTCCTAACAGCGTTAGGGTGGGGTGGGTGGGGCCCAACTCTTGTTGGGGAGGGGCTGAAGGAGGGAGGTGGGGGGGGGGAATGGGTGAGGGGGTAGGGGGAAGACAGGATTCCTCTAACAAACATTTCAGCCTGCGGCCAGAGGCACCTGGAACCCCCAGGAGAGGCCCGCCCTCCAGAAAGAAGTAGGTGCTTCTGGGTGGAGAGGGCCTTAGCCTTGGGGCAGCGGGAGGGCCCAGGGCTGGCCAACAAGAATATCCTATAGGATGGTCTAAGCCCAAAGACTGCAACTCAGCAAATACCAGAAACGGGCCCAGCCAGACTCCGAGACTTTGTGGAGCCTCTTTTCAGGGTCCTCCTCCCCATTCCTTTGTTGGATCTGGGCACTTCCAGCCTCCAGTCCCCTCTGCCCTTCTGCACCAGGTGGTCAGTCAGGGCTTGCCTGGCTTCCTTCCTCCGTCTCTCATCCCTGCCATCCCCCACCCCTCCCTGGTGGAAGTCGGGCCCTCCTCCCAGGACCCACCTTGACCAAGCCAGCTCCAGCTGGGACATGGTCTTTCCCGTCCCAGCAGGCTGAGGCACCTGAGGCTTTCATTGTGAGCCACTTCATAGTCTTTCTGGAAGCAGGTGGGAGATAAAGTGTAAACACCACGTGGGTGAGTGAGTCATCTGGGCCCTCCCAGCGCCACAGGACGGGACTATCCTTGCTCCTCCGACCCACGGGCCTCTCCAGGAGCCAAGCACTGGTTCTGGCCGCAGGCAGATGCTACCCTGGGGCTGGAGCCCTTTAAAGCTCAGTTGCTCACCATCACCTACACCATCCGGTGGGCAATAACCCACCTGGGCAAAGCACTTTCCGTGTATTAGTCCATTTCATCCGCACAATCTCATGAGGCAGATACTCTTCTGTCCATTCCACAGGTGACAAAAGCAAGGCCTACCTAGAGAGCTTCAGGGATTTACACAGAGTTACACAGGTTAAGAGAATGGACTCAGGCTCCAGTTCCAGCCATCCGACTCCAGAGTCGGGCTTAACCACTGACGCACCGAGGAGGACATGGCACCATTCACGTGGCATCCCTTTCCCAAAGGTAGAAATGGAATTGAATCATAAGAAACCTGTCAGACATCCCAACTCTTCCAAAAAGTCAATATTATGAAAGGCAAAAGAAGTTGAGAAGAACTTTTCCAGAATGAAAAACCACAACCCATAATTCTGGATCGGTATCGGACCTGAGAAAAAAACTGCTACAGAAGACGGCGGGGGAAAAAGGGCAAAATTAGAACAAGGACCATATATTAGATTATAGTGTGTATCAATGACATGTCTTTAATTTGGTAGTTAAGAAAATGTCCTCGTTCTTAAGAGATATGTGCTGAAGTATTTAGGGATGAAGTGTGATAATGTCTGAAACTTATCCTCAAATAGTTCAGAAAAAAAAGAATACTAAAATGATTTACATCGTGTGCGTGTGTAAGAAAGAGACAATACAGCAAATGTAGTAAAATATTAGTGAATCTTGGTAAAGGGCATTTGGGAGTTTATTATACTATTTTAATTTCTCTGTATGTTTAATATTTTCAAAATAAGGTAGCTAAACGGAAGTTACTAAAGTAACACAGCCTGGCACTAATTTAGATTCTGAGTGATGCTATTCCACACCTTTGCAGGACAGTGGGTCCCAAAGGCAGCACAACCCCAGGCCGTTAGTGAGACCCCATGTCAAGGTCCTTGCCCATCCTCTGGCTTCACTGAGGTCCCCGAGCTTCTGCTTTCTCGTCCACTCTCAGAATCTTCCTGCACAGGGCTGGGGGCGGGGCCTGGGGGGAGGGGCAGATAGGAAGTCATGGCCAAGGTGTGGGGAAGTCTGTCCTTCCCTCAGCCCCAAGCATTGTATCTTTGGAAAGTCTGGACAGATTTGTCCACATGTATTAAGTGGTTTGTGCTGAGGGATTTGCAAACAGAAAAGGTACTGATTGAGAAGCAGGAATGTTCTTCTGGCTCATTCTCCTGCCTCTTGGCAATGCCTGCGCCTCCGAGCACCAGGGAAGTGCTACACAGACCCGCCGAGGCATCACTCAGCCCTGGGGAAGCCAGCCTGAGTGTCAACACTCTGGCAGAGAGAAGTGCTAAAATGCATATTTGAAGATGTCTGAGCAGACTTGTTTGAGAGACAACTGGAGTTGTGAAGTAATCCTGATGTCTCCCCATGTCTCGGTTTTGAAGGCAGAGTTTGCCTGCAGGCCTCTGACCTCTAATGTCTTTCTATTATTGTTAGCATTTGATAGAACTTTGCGTAAAACTTGAGATGACAGAAGTCAACACAGAGAGGGGCTTACAATTGCTGCTGGAAGGGCTACTCGGAGATCCTCTCAGGGACAGAAGTCAGTTCAGCTCGGGATCCTCTGGGCCTAATGCCTGGGCCAGTGATGCTGTATCAGGTACAGACCATTTCCTCCATGAACTGACCTCCTCTGGCCCCAGTGGCCCCTGCGAGCCGAGGCCTTCAGCCCCAGTGGGCAATACCAACCCACAGGGAGAGTTACACGCTCTTGCTCAGATCTTCCTCCAGAGTATAAGCGAGGGCTCAAGAGCCAGTGGGCTGAGGCCCGGCAGAATGAGTCACAGTGGAGACTAAAGTTGCAGGGAGCACAAGAATAAATCAGAATAACTCTGGGCCCAGTCTGGGTCAGTATTCACCCCTGACCCAGGGGTGAATTCTTGTGATTTATTCAGAGCAGGCTGCTTTGGGTGGGTTTCCAGCCACTGCCATTAAATAGAACTGATGAAGACAACTGCCAGTAGCCTTGGGATGCCGGTTTGCCCCTCACCTCTCCTCATTGGAAGGTGTATGGCTCAAGGAGTTGTCCAGCTGGATCAAAGGGCGGGTTCTTCCCAAATGAGAGCAGAGAACATTCTTCCACAATGATTCTCCTGTGAACAACCAGAATTGGTGGTGGTGGCAGCCGACTGCCCCTCCCTTCCCCCACCACCCACTACCACCCCTGAGGGAGAACTGGTGACATATTACCGGGACCCATCATGCATCCTGTGCAGGGTGGCAAAGAATCCTACAGAATATTCCACAGGCAGACTCCAACCTGGCATGTACACCATAATTTGCCCTTTCGGTAAGGACAGATACCAATATTTCACTATCTCTGGATGATCCTGGAACCAGACAGACTTACCACCGAATGGAAAATTCTGGAAGTTAAAAATGATTCTCGATTTCATGAGGGGAGGCAGGTAGTAGGGCTGTAGGGCCTGAGGCAGGCCAGCATGAGTCTTGGGCACCTCTTCTCACCCCTGTACTCAGGACTCTAACGACATCACCTCCACCCAGAGGCCAGAGTTTCCTTTCCTGCGTTCCCAGTCTGCTTGGAGGAGCCCCTGTAGTAGGTCTTTAACTTCTCTTTCTTCCATGATCACTTGGTGACGTCTCCCTAGGGCGGGGATGGAGGCTGCCGCAGAGCACAGGCAGATTGAAGGCTCACGGTGGGGAGGACAGCAGAATGTTTCCTATTTGGTCTTACTATTCATTGAAAATATCACTGGCGTGTGTTAAGGCAGAAGCATATAACTGCTCCCTAACATGACAAAAGGGATGATTCAGAATTAAGAATAAAATACACAGAAATGCAAACACTCGGGCATGTCTGGATACCTCCCTCCCTCGCACGTCCAGTATCGCCCTGCTCCCGACCACTTTCTAATCTAATTTTCTCCTTCCTCCCGAGTAGAATATACTTTCCTAAATCATCCGGAGCATATCTTGGCTTGTTCAAAGCCCAACCTCCTGTTTGCCTCCAGGCCCTGGTGGGCAGCTTCCATTTAGCTGTCAGGCTTCGTGCTGGAGGGACACATGGGGCTATATCAGTGTTTCTGTTGGCAAAGGATGTGTTTCAACAACACACCTCGCCAGTCACGAAAGCATCGAGCAACAACCTAAATGGCACAGGAAGGAAGCACTGGAGAGCGGGGCGGGGCTGGGGGGGGCTGTTGCACGGACACACGGTTGCACAAACATATTATTAACTACTAAAACAATGGCAAACCACCAGGACGGGGAGCTATAGAGACTCAGGGAGAGGAGAAAGGGAAGGTTAGGTGGGGCAGGTGATCAAGTGTAACATCATCAGCGATGAGTCCTGTTGGTGACATGGCCCCCTGTGTGATATGATGAGAAGGGCACTTCGCCTCTGTGGTCATCTTCCCCAAACCCACAACCCCAGTCTAACCATGAGAAAACCACCAAACAAGCCACATGGAGAGACCTTCTACAAAATACCTGACCAGTGTTCCTCCAAACTCTTAAGGGCATAAAATGAACAAACAAAACAAAACAAAACAAAGTCTGAAAAACTGTCACAGACCAGAAGACACTAGGATGTGGTGACTAAAGGCAGTGTGGGATCCAGGATGGAATCCTGATTAGTGGAAACTCTAGGGAAATTGAATTGCAGCGGAGTCTGGTTAGAAGTGATACACCACTATTCTTGCTCAGCTGGGACACACGTACTGAGAGATATTAACAAGAGGGGGCACTGGGTGAGGAGTCCATGGGAACTCTGTGCTACCTTTGCAACTGTTCTGTAAATGTATAGCTATTCTGAAATTAAAAGCTTATTTAAAAAAAAAAAAGGTAATGCAGGGATGTAGGGGAGGGCAGGAAGACTGGCTTTCTGGTCAAAAGGGGAAGGAAGGTTTAGAAGGGAGAAATCCCAGGATATCTGAAGGAGACCAGAGAGGCTGCCATTCTGGAAGGAGACAGGCATCCCTGCCCCAGCATCCCTGGGGAAGCGGCTTCCTACAAACCAGGTTAGCCAGGGTTTTCCCTTACCTGTAGCCAGCAGAGAGATCCAAAGCTGAACTTCCCCAGTTCCAATGTGCACATGAATCTTGTTCAAATGTAGATTCTGATTCAGCAGTTCAGGCTAGGGCCTGAGCTTCCACCTAACTGGCTCCCAGGTGATGCCGAGACTGTGGGTCCCAGGACCACACTCCGAGTTGCAAGAAGCTGGAGAGTCGGATGCCACCTCACCTGGGAGGAGGGGAAGAGATGCTGAAAGGGAAGCCATGACCCTGCAGACACAATTCGAAACCTGGCCAGCCCAAGGAGAAGGGCAAGCTGGCCGTGGTGGCCCAGTGGGAAGAGCCAAGTGTGGGCTCTGATTCTGATCGCCTGCACACTGCCCCACTGGGCAAATGTCCCAGCTCCCCAGCCTCATGTCACCTTGGCTATCAGGGGCATCCTAACTCCCGATGCCTATGTCTTGAGGTCGTTCCGGGAATTGAATGAGGGAGTCACGTGTGAGGCTCTGGGCACACACAGCGCAACCACTTGTTGAAGTGACTCAGGACCCCGCCAAACGAGCTTCAGATGACTTACACGTATGGCGTCTCTCTGTTTTTAATTAACATGGCCGAACCCTCGTGAAGCCATTTTGCTTTATTTATTCAGTCATTCAAGTCAACAGATATACATTGAAAACCCATCATGGGCTTCCAAAGAGTTGGTTGTCTGCAGTCTCTTGCCTCGTGGAATCCAGATTTGCAAATGGCTGGAGTTGAAGAGAAGCAAAAAGCCAGCTAGAGTTTACCCCCTCACTTGCCGAGGCGCAAGTCCTGCTGTGTCTTTCTCGGTCCTCTGTGTTTCCCTCACTCTGACCTCCCTCTCTGGCTGGGGTCCACAGAACAGTGAGCCGCCCCTCTTCCTCCAGAGAGCCTCCTGCTGGTAAAGGTGCGGCCCCCCCCAGCTCCCCCTTCTCCCTGGCCTTGTTCTCCCCTTTCTCTGGCCCAAATCTCAGCCTCATCCTGAGGGCTGTCCTCCGAGGGGCAGGGGCTCCAGAATACCTGCTCATCTTCAAACTTAACTTACACAAACATTTATATGCAGTCAGGAGCTTCAGAATCAAATCAAGATGGTTTCCTCATAGCAGACTCGAGGAAAAGAGAAGGACATTTTTTTTTAAGATTTTTATTTATTATTGAGAGAGAGAATGATAGAGAGAGAGCATGAGAGGGAGGAGGGTCAGAGGGAGAAGCAGGCTCCCTGCTGAGCAGGGAGCCCAATGCGGGACTCGATCCTGGGACTCCAGGATCATGACCTGAGCCAAAGGCAGTCGCTTAACCAACTGAGCCACCCAGGCGCCCCAGGACATTTTTTTAAAAGATTTTATTTATTTGAGAGAGAGACAGAGACAGCAAGCAAGGGGAGGGACAGAGGGAGAGAGAGAAGCAGGCTCCCCGCTGAGCAGGGAGCCTGACAACAAGGATGTGGGCTCCATCCCAGGACCTGAGATCATGACCCAAGCCAAAAGCAGAGACTTAACCCACTGAGCCACCCAGGCACCCAAAGAAAAGGAACTTGATGCTATTAACTTCTGTTGGGTCACAGACCTTTTAGGAATCTGATAAAAGCACTCCATATCATCCCCACTCAGAAAAACAGTTAAGCACACACCCACACAATTGTGTCCCCACTTGCCGGGGATACTGGGCCCTGGGTAGGAATGCTAGGTCTAGAGGCTCCTGTAAGCTTAAGGCTACTGGCAGAACACAGCCAGACAACAGGATGAGATGGTGGGGATGACGAAGGTCCCTAATTTTCAGTGTCATCACACTGTCCCTCTGCCTTCAACTTCCCAACTCCATCAGGGGCCACCTACAGCTGCCCTTTGCACAGTCCCCCAGGTCCAAGTGCAGACTTACCCAGCTGGAGCATCCCTGTCAGCCACTTCTCCTGGGATCCTCAGGAATCTCAGTGCATTGTCCCCAGTGACGGTGACATAAAACCCAGGGCCACTTCTTTCTGGCCTGTGGCTGATTCCCCTCTCACTGCCCAGGACTCCCCCAGAGCCCCCAGCATATTCTCAGTCTTCTTCCTCTCGGGCTCAGGCTAGCACACAAAATAATATACCCTTTCTCCCAGCACAGAATGGCCATTGACCTTTACTTGGAACCCAGAGGGAGCGGCAGGAAATAGACAAGATCCAAATGCATAAAAATGGTCCCCTTACCCATGACATCTCCCTGGCCCCAGGTCCTGGCACAAGCTGGCAGCCCCAGTCTTGGTTTCTCCCCTTCCATCAACTTGTCCCTGTTTCAGTGACCTCCCTTCTTAAGTGATCCCTCTTTGCTTTTTTGTCCTCAGGCTCCCCCTCACTACCCCCTCTGTCACTGTCTTCCTCAGGGCTGTATGTGAGTAAGACGCCCGGCTGCCCCTAGAAAGAGAGAAGGAAGTGCTCATTTTCTACCAAGATCTGTTGTCGCCTCCTTTCTTTAGCATGCCTGAGTTTTAGCTGGCACACGATCACACAGCTGAAGAATGTACTTCCCAGCCTCCCTTGCAGCTTAGGTGAGGCTATGCCACCAAATCATGATTGATGGCCACCAAGAGGTCAGAGGTATGCCACTTCTAGGTCATGGCCTTAGAAAGAATGGAAAAGTGCTCCTTTTCCCCTTTCCTTTTTCTTTTTTAATTTTTAAAAAGATTTTATTTATTTGAGAGAGAGGGTACAAGCAGGGTGGGGGGTGGAGGGCAGAGGGAGAGCGAGAAGCAGACTCCCTGCTTGATCCCAGGACCCCGAGATCATAACCTGAGCTGAAGGCAGACACTTAACCAACTGAGCCGCCCAGGGGCCCCATTGCCCTTTCCTTCTTCCCACTGACTGGGAGGCAGACGTGATGGAAGGAGCCAGAGCAGCCAGTTTGACCTCACTGATGGGAGCCACCATGGGCTCAAACAGCAGGCACTCAATAAATACATTTTTGGATGGACTTAACTCATTTAATCTTCACAATCATCCTCTGAGGTAGGGTTACTATGTCATGTCTATTACCATTCCAACTTTACAGATGAGGAACTGGAGACACAGAGAGGTTGAGTAACTTCTGTAAGGTCACAAAGGGCAGGATTTGAGCCCAGGCAACCTGGTTCCAGAGTCTGCTCTTAATTATCACAGCATACAGAAGAGAGATCTATACACTACAATGTTAGGTGATGGACAATAGATATCCATACCGTTTAGCCTCTGTATTTGGGGCCCCTTTGTTACAGCAGCTTAGATATCCCTTAATATGCCCTCTGTGCCACCCCAGAGGTGACCATAGATCCCTCCCTTGCCTAAGTCCCAAGTATGAGCCCCTCAAAGGCCAGTAGCCAAGGAGGTGGACTCCTGGGAGTGGCTCTCTAAAGGCCAAAGGCTCCTAATTGAGTCCCCCCTTTTCATTCCAGGCTGTATATAATTAAAAGCCCCCATCACCAGCTCCTGAAGCATCCATGCATGCTCACCAACCCTCCCTTTCCTCCAACATATACACACACACTATACTCCCATAAGGACACAGCCCTCAACCCTCTCCAAAGGGTAGTGTTGTCTCTTACTTATTTTTAGTTTTTTAAAAAGATTTTATTTGAGAGGGGCGCCTGGGTGGCTCAGTTGGTTGAGCGACCGCCTTTGGCTCAGGTCATGATCCTGGAGTCCCTGGATCGAGTCCCGCATCGGGCTCCCTGCTCAGCGGGGAGTCTGCTTCTCCCTCTGACCCTCCTCCCTCTCATGCTCTCTGTCTCTCATTCTCTCTCTCTCAAATAAATAAATAAAATCTTTAAAAAAAAAAAGATTTTATTTGAGAGAGCGAGAG